TGGGTTTGATCCCTGAGCTGGGAAGATCCCTTGGAGAAGGGAAAGGCTACGCACTCCAGTATTCTGGCCTGGAGAATTCCATGGACTGTATAGTCCATGGGGTCCAAAGAGTCAGACATGACTAAGCGACTTTCACTATCACTATCACTATACAGCATAATGATTTGATATTTGTTGAAATCATCAGCACAGTAAATGTAGTTAACATTTGTCACCATACAGAAAGTGTTACAGAAATTTTTCTCTTGTAATGAAAAATTTTAAGATGTGTTCTCTTAGCGACTTTCAAATAGGTAATATAGTACTATCAACTATAACCACCATGCTGTACACTATATCTCCATAACCTATTTATTTTATAATTGAAAGTGTATACCTTTTGATGTCCTTCAACCATTTTGCTCACCTCCCATCCTCCACCTCCCACCTCTGGCAGCCACCAATCTGCAATGTGTATCTATAAGTTTGTGTTTTTAAAAAAAAAAAATCTTCATTCTGATTCTTAAAGTCATACACACTCATTGTTTTAAAATAACCAGAAAGTACAAAACACAAAAATAATACAAAATAATTTGCATTATAAAAATTATAAAATGCAAAAATGTACAGTACAATACAAAATAATACAAAAGTCATAACGTATTTCTTAGATGGGTAGCATTATGATAAACTCTAAGGATACACATGGGAAGGGGTCAGATGAATCCCTTCCCTCACGCTATATTTAATATACTGGGGGAAAATAAGTATTTAAAGGACAGTTTGTGTTTTGATCTGGGAGGTACAAAGTATTGAGTTGGCCAAAAGTTTCATTTGTTCATATTTTTTCTGTAAGATGTTATGGAAAAACCTGAATGAACTTTTAAACAAAATCCCAATACTATAAAAAGAACTCATGGCAGAAGGGCAGGACCTAACCTAGTGAGGAAGGCCATGTGTCTGTAATTATTTCTAAACTGAAACTATAATGTTGAGCAAGAATCAGACCCTCAGGGCTGGGAGAGAGAAGGGAGCTGGGACAGTGTTCTAGGATGAGGAAAGAGTCTGTGTTAAGCCCCAGAGGACAGAAAGAGCATAGTGAGTTCTAGGTACTGAATGCAGGATTAGAAGATGGAGGAGTTTTTAGGGAGCTGGAGTAGGAGGGGTGGAATAGTGCCAGAACTCTAGGAATAAGCAGGGGTTGAATCAAGAAAGATCTTATAAGCCTCACTAAAGAGCTTACACCACGTCATGAGGGAGTGGGCAGCCAGTGAAAGGTTTTAAGCCCAAGAGTGAAAATGGTACTACTTCCCTTTAAGAAAGATCACTCAAGCTGCACAGGAGAAAATGAGAAGCAGATTGCAGTAGATCAGTAGATGGTGGCCTGACCCAGGGTAGTGACTGTGGGAATGGACAGAAGTGAGTGAATTAATCTAGGAGGACAGGGAGAGAGAAAAGTCAAAAGCAATGCCCAGATTTTTAGTTTGATACGATTGGTGGCCACATAAATAATAAGGCTGGTGGTGTAATCAGATTAGGGAGAAGCTCCTCACTTAGAATACACTGCTGCCAAGATCATCTGTGATCTCCTGACCTAAGCCAGTGGTGACTATCACATCTTCATCAAATTCACCTAGAAGCAACATTTTTCATCATTTCTTTTTTCTTGCTCCTTTCTTCCTTTGTCTTCTGGGCCCTCACACTATTATAGCTCATTCTGCTTCTACACTCCACATCTCTAACCACTAGAGTTGGAGGATCCCAGAGCTCACTCCTTCAGCACTCTTCTCTATCTACCCTCATTTCTTGAGAGACTTCTCCAACCCAATGGCTCTAAATGCTTTCTAAATGCTGGCAATTCTTAAATTCATATTACTATTCCAGACCTTTCCCCTGAATTTCACACTTGTATAATCAACTGCTAATCAACTGCTACTAAATATATCCAATTGGATGTCTGATAGTCAGTTCAGACAGTTAAAACTTCTGACCTAGAACCTCCCTGGTGGCTAAGACGCCACACTTCCAATGTAGGGGGCCCGACTTTGATCCCTGGTCAGAGAACTAGAGTTTTGCCAAGAGAATGCACTGGTCATAGCAAACACCCTCTTCCAACAACACAAGACTCTACACATGGACATCACCAGATGGCCAACACCGAAATCAGATTGATTATATTCTTTGCACCTGAAGATGGAGATGCTCTATACAGTCAGCAAAAACAAGACCGGGAGCAGACTGTGGCTCAGATCATGAACTCCTTATTGCCAAATTAGACTTAAATTGAAGAAAGTGGGGAAAACCACTAAAGCATTCAGGTATGACCTAAATCAAATCCATTATGACTATACAGTGGAAGTGAGAAATAGATTTAAGGGACTAGATCTGATAGACAGAGAGCCTGATGAACTATGGACGGAGGTTCATGACATTGTACAGGAGACAGGGAGCAAGACCATCCCCAAGAAAAAGAAATGCAAAAAAGCAAAATGGCTGTCTGAGGAGGCCTTACAAATAGCTGTGAAAAGGAGAAAAGTGAGAAGCAAAGGAGAAAAGGAAAGATATACCCATTTGAATGCAGAGTTCCAAAGAAAAGCAAGGAGAGATAAGAAAGCCTTCCTCAATGAGAATTAGAAAGAGAAAGACTAGAGATCTCTTCAAGAAAATTAGAGATACCAAG